CTGAATTTATTTGTTTGTCCAGCTTGAGGGTAGAATTGAAAATGAAACCAAGCTTTTTTACATGGGGGTGTACATTAGCTAATAGTGGGCCCAAGTCATTTCTTATGAGACTAACAGAGTCTTGCGTACCGAAAATTATAATCTCAGTTTTGTCGTAGTTTATTGTCATAAGAAACTCTGACTGTTATGACCTTTCAAACTACAGACCGAGCTCTAAGCTTTCATTCGTGTCCAAGATCCCGGAGAGACTCTCCCAGCTCCAGGCGTACTTGGACACGAACAATATTGCTGAGAAATTTCAATCTGCTTTTAAGCCATTGCTGGATAGCTCGCTCAAACTCAATAAGCAAGTGTCTGCTGTAGTGAGATCTAGCTTCCACCAACTGCGCCTTATCTCTAAGGCTAGGCATTATGTTCCACATGAGGACCTGGAGAAGCTTATTCACGCTTTTGTGACCTCCAGGTTGGATTTTTGTAATTAATTGTACTACGGTCTAAGCAGCTAGATCATCAGTGGGTAGCCACGTTTCAGTCATAAAAAGAAAGTCCAAGCCATGAGAGACAAACAGGTCATCATGGTATATGAAGGTCTTAGCTGTGGCTCTGCCCAGGCCTCTGTTGCCAATAAGGAAGCTAAAGACCGCCCTCTGATGGACAAACTATGCAAGCTCAATACTCATGGTAGATGTTTCTCGCTTATATTTTCTATGCATTGGTTATTATAAACGCTAGCATCAATACATCTGCAAGTAGCTAATATCAGCAAGCTGTAGCTTAAATGAATCAGTGACCAATGTTACCTCATACAGATTTCTAGGTCAAGCTGCTTTTTTAGGCCTGGCAAAACTCCAGAGTTGTCCTATCTTTCTGAGTTTTGAATTTTGTCAAAAGCTTTCACACGACTTGATCATAATGTGTACCTAAAATCTGGACTGCAAGCTATTAAATTGCACTGCATTTAAAATACAGATGCCCTTACAGCATGCAGCATTCCCACCAACTGTTCTGTCCTTAAACACACCACATATTTGCTAATTGACAGCATAGATGGTGAAAAAACAAAACAAGGTTTGATTTAATTGTGTTTTGATTACTTTTCCTGTGGTGTAGTACACATGATAACTGGGGAGGTAGAAAAGCTATAAAGATAAAAGGAGTCAATACATGAAGGCTCAATTCAGCACAATCTGTGACATACAAATTATTGTTAAATATTAAAGCGTGTTCTACAATATATTTACAAAGCTCTAATTGGAGGAGAAAAAAGAAACCATTTTTCTTTTGAGAAAATAATTTATTTTGGAACACAATAAGCACGTCTCCTCACATAATTAGTTCACACGCACACCACTGGTATTTCTTCAACAAACACACCCAGGGTTCAGTATCAGAGTACATTATGTTGTGTGACTGCATCCCCCCCTCTAGTTGTCCCAACACACCCTTTAGCCTTCATTCAGCAAAACTGTAAACACAAAATTAAAGCTGTATAATGATAATTGTAGGTTAACACACAGTGGGCTCCCATCCACTTGCCTGGTACTGACAGTTATGGATTCTACATTTAAAAAAAATCTTTCTAGAAAAAAAACAAAAACAAAACAATAATAATAAGCAAAGTTTACCCCAATCCAAGTTTTTCTTCCCAAATTTTTTGGACATTTTAAATTTACTCAAGATATCTGAGTCATTTAGTTTCCAAGCAATTAAATATGAGCCCATAAACTTGATGTTTGAAGCAGTGAGTTTAGGATAAATACAGAGGAACACAATTTTTTTATCAGTACAGTAAAACAACATTTCAGATCCCAGATCCATGAGAAATTATTACAATGAGTATGACATTTTGGTCTAATATACTTTGACACCATTTATTGTCACATTAGTGTTTAAATAATAAGAGAATCCCTTCTGTTTGGTTATTGCCTTTATTTTTCCATCCCTGGTCCCTCAAATCTAATATACACCATCTTTACATAGATGTTTTATTTTTGTTGTTAAAGTGAACAATATTGGATTTTTGGGGATCAGAGGTGGTGATATGACACAGTATACACCTGCTGTATGTTTACCTATCAACACTCACACTCTACTGCATTTACACAAGCAGATAACACAAGAAGTCATAAGAACAATACAAAAATAAAATAAAAAAATACCCCCAAAATAATTAACTAGAAAAAAAAAAATCCAAATAATACATCCAAACTTGCATTTTTGTGCAAAGTTGTGGAGAGGCAAAAACATTTTTCTAAACAAAAAACAACAACAACAACAACAACAACAACAACAACCCAAAACACATGGCTCGTACTGCAGAAACTGGGTTTTTGCTGGTGTCATCGAAATCGAGCCCGAATAAACCCAAACGTGTAATTTTAAATGAGAGCTGTGGACTACAGATGAACCATTTACTATAATCTGACTGTGGGTGGACGAGAGGATGTTTGCCACGAAGACTGGCAGTTGTAGTTCGGTTTCCCTGACAACAGATGGCAACAGTGATTTGTTGTTTGAGCAAATGCTGGTTGACGACCGCTAGACGTGAAAAGAAAGAGGGTGTTGGCAGGCCGACTGAAACACCAAACACGATTATGTCACCAATCACATCAAGTGCAGCCTCATTTCCAATACTGTTATAAAACTGAGGGTTTCCACTCAGAAGGCAGGCTGATGACCACCTGCCACAGCGTGTCTCATTTCATCTTACAGTACATTAAAAACGACTCCAATGAGACGAAAAACAAAGAAAAAAGGGTTCACTGGTGTCAGACTGGTGCTTGGTGTTGACAGATGCCCTGAGTTAAAGGAGATGAAGTTGGATAAGAGTTCCCTTTTATCCCCACATTAGCCAAGCCAGCATTGGTGAGATTAATACCTGGATGTCATAGTATTTGCTCAGAAAGGTTTAAGGCAGTTATACCTCAGAAAATAACTGATAATAAAATTTCCAAAGAGCAAAAAGAGCAACAGATCAGATTCCCAATTACAGCACTTTAAATACTACTACTGGTAACCAAGCAACTATTTCTAAAGTTAAGAACAAACTTTGGAACGCCATATATAAGCTTTAATATTCAATTCTTATTATCTGATATTTATTATTACTTTACAAGCTTCGATTGATTGACATTCAGTGCTGTTATATCCTGATATGGCAAACCTTCCAGTACTCAAACACTTCTACTTATCAAATACTATCAACCAGGTATTACGACACACAAACCACGGCCTAGGAAGCCTCATAAAATGCCCTGCTGTCAGTCACTTAATCATTTCAAACCACCCATAGAGTCTCATCACAGTGTTCAGAAGCAGGTTTTAGATCACACATTTCTTGGCTTTATATTGCCTTGGAAGAAGCTTCCTTAGAGCCCTTACAACAAGGTTTGAATTTAAATCGGGTTTTGAAAAGTCCACAGGTCCCAGTCTTGCAGTATGATTTCAACAAGAGATGTTTGCGATCTTTTTTTCAGCAGTTCGTGCAGCAACACCCTTTATTCTCAGTGCAGTCAACAAAACAAGAACTGAGATTTTCGGCAAAGTCTTTGAAATAAAAAAATATTCCCTACGGTTAAAATCCATCTTCTTTCTTGCATGCAGCATTCTCCATCTAAATTACAGTTAAACAAACACCAGAATCATACGAACAAGCCACTAAAATAAATAGCGGTTGAGCTTTGGTATCTTCAGCCCTCCTACTCGTCAAACCTCACAGCTCAGATTATTACAAATGAAAAATTTGCTTCACATCTGCTGAACTTTCCCTTTTGTAGCACCACGCTCGCCAATCAGAAGGCTAAATTTTCAACATTTCAAAGAACCACATGATCATCTGCTGGAAAATGGAAAAGCTGTACTAAGATGTTCGCACCAAACCAGGTGGGTTGAATGTTAGCCTCAGTGCAGTGGCAGTAGGACTGTTGTGTGTGCAGTAAGAGACGGATATCAGAGACTTGGCTGGACCTGCAGCTGATCAAAGGCAACAGAAAGAGTAAGGAGGGCTCAAAGACACTGACAGACAGACAACGCGGGGAACATTTGATTCATCTAACGTTTCGTTATCATCCTCGCCCCTCCGTTAATAGTTTCCATATCTGCACTTTGACAAATAAAATGAGGAAAGGGGGAAAATATTGTGGTGTACAGTATGTAAAGTGCTGGAATCAAAGTGACAGAATGCAACTGTGGGAATGTACATGGATCCCATCTGAGGGTGGGGCTCGATCCCTGGTCACGTCTGGTAAGCACCGAAAACTTTGAGTGCCAAAACTATGTGCAGGATGATGTTACGAGCTGGAAACAATGTGTACAATCCTACCTTAATACTTAATAATCTACAGTACATTTACTACAAACAGCAACGCACCCAGAGGAGCAGACATAATGGCCAAGGGCTAAGAACAGAGAATTTAAATCAGACCAACCTCACAAAGACCACCATCCTGGGTCTTTCCCTCTTGGCCTACACAGTCTCACACAGACATACTCACGCACGCACGCACACACAAAACGGTAACGTTTGTTAAGACAGCAGACTAGGCTATATGGCCTTGGCGGTGATAAGCAGTGAGCTTCTTACAGTTCTTCTTCGATGTAATACGAGGCTTCTTGTGTGCTCTTGTTTCTCACTCGACTACTCTAAAGTGGTGCTCTTGCTTTCCTTTAAAATGACAGCTTGACTTCATCGTCTGCCACTTTCGGCCAAAAAGAATCACTTAGCCGGGCGTCATTACTGTGTAGATGTAAAGAACCAAAATGTCCCTGCTCCGAGTCCTCGACATGGAAAAGAGCACGAAGGCAGTTAGTTCATTTTGTCACAAACTGTAAGGTGATTGTGATTACAAAGGAGGACCGGGAAAGGTAGGTTGGTACTGGTGAGTCGCACAGGAGGAGAAGGCAGAGAAGAGATATCAGTTTAGAGTGTCTCCTCAGTGCAGTGTGGGGATAGTGGTGTTGGAGAAAGTGAAAGGTTAATGAACAAATGAGAGAGACAGAGGTTTATGCTTTCTCCTTTAAGCAGGAGCCCTCACTCAGGTGGTCACTTTGGCATGGTGGTTTCTGTTTCTCCCACTGACAAATGGCATTGGCGTAACCCACGATCACTTTGTCCATCCAGGTGAGAGGCTGGGGGAAGAGGACTGCACCCTCAAAGAAGCCCAGGTGGCCTCCGTGAAGTGTCAGGGCAAAGATCACATTCGGCTTCTTTGCTGGAAGAGGACAAATCACACGGTAATTAGCCCTCTGTACTCTGCACAGTTTGTAATCGTCAGCATCGGAAGAACAATGTTCAACACATGCCCAGAAATGGGCTTGCAAGGGATTGTTAAGGGTGTGTTTGCACAGTCGAGCAGATAACAGTGCGATTACATTTCTGGCCATTAGACACGATCAATATGTTACTCAGTTTGTTTGTCTGACAGCTGGCAGAAAAAAAAAAAAAAGTGGTACTTCAACTTTGCTCCTTCAACCTGGAGGCTATTTTTTAATGACTTTAACAGTTGAAACAGGTTTGCCTCGACTGACAGGTCTCACAGATTGTTACACCGTCTTTTCATTGCTTGTTGTCTAATTGCTTAAATGGTCATCCAGAATGGAAAAATCTATTTTCATAGTATAAGACTCATCATTTTCCATACCCCTCTCTTAATAAAGACTGCCATGTTGACAATCTTCCAAGATCCTTACGATTACATTTGTGTCCACATACTTATGGTAAAATAATGCAACCATTAATAATTGACGAGATAGGACTCCAGGCCAAACTTTAACATTTTCCCTTAGGAGATGTGACGACCTGTTTTCTATACTCTGTCCATACAGAAAACAGTAGTTTTCACACTGACTTTACGTCATTCACAATACACGCAATATACGAACCCTGAATATCTCTGCATCTGTGCTGCCTAATAAAATATGAAGGACTGCAATTTCCTTTGCTGTTTTTTGTTTTTTTTTTGGTTGGTTATTCTGCAGCTAAAATATATTTTTATTTAAAATGTGTAATTAAAAAAAAAATAATAACAACAATGATGATGATAAATAAAGTCTGAAATGTAAACTAGGTCATCTCCACACACTCACTCTGCTTGCAGCATAGTGCTGCTGCAGTGAACAACTATGGTGGGGTTTCATGAAAAGGACTGGCCTGGATCTCTTTGGTCTCCTGGTCTTATCTGGGTTAGTGGGGAAGCCTGCTGTAGCAGACTAGTGACTAAGATCCCACTGGGCTTTGAACACTGTGCACTATTCATGACAGCTGCTGAGTTGCCCTTGGACAACTGCGTGCTCATCCAGGACCGAGAACTGCCGCCTCACTACGAGCTGAGCGACAGGTTGGAACAGGGGCCCGGAGACCAGCTTGTGGTTTAAAGATTTTCTTAGTCCCTAAACGCATCATTTACCAAGTCATTAATGAAACACAGTTGCATCAGTTTCATGATCTTATTTTGATTAATTCTATTATTCAAATATCATTGCAATAAAGAAGCACCAACTATTCTTTGTTTTCTTTAATTCACCTGTAACATTTTTGCTTGAACAGGAACAGTCTTACTTAACAGTCTGCTGAAAGCTCTTATCAAACACTTCTAGTCCGAGCTAATTCCAGCACCAGCACAGCAAGTGTATTTCTGTCAGTCTTTTGATGGCAGTCAAGCGTCTGAGCAACTGTCTCACATTTTAGGTCATAGGGACAGCTAATCCACTTTTCTGTAAGTGTTGCTCTCTGGAGACATATAGGATACAGTACCATTTGCTTCCAGTAAGGACTCCTCCTACTCTCCCTCTTACACGCACGCACACACACACAAGCAATATTCCTTTTCCAGTAGAGTTAAAAGTGGTCAGTAAGTAAAAATAGCACAAAGTGAGAAGAATGGATGCTTGATAGACATTTAAGTCATGTGTAGCCAGATTTGCCTGCTTATGCTTATTTATTATCAATCACCCTGCACCATATACGGGAGGACAGAAGGTTTTTTGGGGGGGCAGGAGACCAGTGAACCACTTTATCCAACTGGAGGAACACTGTGTTATATTTATGCGTTACAGCCGTTGCCACACAGCAGAAAACATTAGTCACAAACTGTGTGCCCCACCCTGTCCCGGTTGGGGTTGGATGCCAGCTCATCATAGGCCTGCTTAAGGCTGCAGACATGTTTTTGTTTGTTTGTTTGTTTGTTTTTTTTAAAACTACTGAGATTCAACTGAGGCCAGTCTTTAAGACATTAACAGCTTTTTGTATCAACCTGAAGGAGAATTGTTTTTCAGCATTTTTAGAACTGTGGAAAATAGAGGTGTTACTAATAATCTACAGTGAGTTATTTAAAGTTACATAATACTACAGTGCAGTGGAAGCAATATTCAAAGAAATTGAACCCACCCTTTTCTTTATTTTTTAATTTCTTTTTATTTTGAGCAGGAAGGTCCAGGTGGGGGTTTTTTGTTTGTTTTTTATTCAACACGTAATTTTACAGCAGGATTCTTATTTAAGGTCAGGAGCTTGATTTTTTGATGCTACTGCAGCCACGCTATGACAGCAAGTTGATCCTGATCTGCACGGACCATTTAACTGCAACTCTGCCATCTAGTTGATAAGGTGATAAAAAAATATTTTAGTGCAGCTGCTGTTGCTATGCAACATGTTGGCAATTACCTGCTAGCGTGCGAGGGATGGTGAGCAATGAGTCATGAACCAGAGGATCATCCGCAGAGTTCACCAACAGCAGTGGCACATTGACCTGGAAATTTAAGAACAAAATGCCATCCATCAAAAAAAATACACAAACAGACCAAAAAAGAGAAAGATGGCATTTGTGAGTCGTATGCAAAAGCAGTTCTTACATTGTGAATATAATGTACACAACTCTCTTTCTCATAGTACTCTTTGAGAGAGCGGTGGCCGTGGAATTTTCTGTTGAAACCCAAAAAGATCAGGTATTATTATTCAGTCCCTAACCCTTAGAGGGGTTTGATAGAAATGACAAGAATATCTGATATTTTTCAGATTCTAAGCACTGACAAAAAAGTATCACCAGGAGCATCAAGAACATGGAAGAGCTGCAGTTTACTAGAACACACCTCATGATGTTGTCATCAATCTGCATGAGAGATGTTGCTGTGTACAACCGACTTAGATCAGCATCAATCATTTTGAGCGAATGTCCTCCAAACAGACTGTGCCTGTAACATACAAACATTAACATGAACACAAGTAATTTTAAAAATCAATTAGTTCACAGTCATAACTGTCAGCTATGTACCAACTATTCCCTCTATTACACAGAGTGACAACGAAGACCAAGAATGGTAAGAACTACTCATTTATTTGCAGATTAGCATTTAGAAAGTTACTTTAGATGTTCTTTTTAGTAGGCTAGTGGCTCATTTAGTGGCTTTTTTTATTTCACATTTTTACTTAGTTTTGAGTAGTTTATAGTTGGCTTTATTTATTTTATGGGCACCTTAGCATGTTATAGGTAGGTAGGGCAAGAGCAAGAGAGGCAAGAGGAAGGTACCATTTCAGGCAGTTCAACCTACTCAGATCTGTGAAAATGATCATTGCTCAAATGAACCCACCATGGCTGTGGGTAATCTACAATTTCATTTATAAGGAAATTAGGAGGTTAGATTACTGACTGGGTTGTCTGTCTGATGAAATCACTGTCTTTGGCAAACACCATAAACATTTCTCCCCAAACACTAAACATGTCCATTAAACTTTTCAGTGATTGGAAACAGAAGGCACACAATGTACTAAAATTTATAGCTGGGCAACAGTGGTACCTGTGTGACAGAATGATTTTCTTCATGTTGTCGGCCATGAGAAAGTTATAAAAGCGCCTGAACTGATCCCACTGCAGGAATGTTTCCTGGGCCCTGAGAGAGAGAGGGGAAGGCAAACACACAGGAAGTTAGCTTTGTACAGACTGTCTGCAATCTAAACAATACCTTGAATGTCCTGTGTCCACTAATCCACTAACACAAAGAGTCACACTGGTTGGGAGTAGCAATGGTGTCAGGCATCAATATGCAGCTCACTGACAGTGACAAGGTGACTCAAAAGAAGAGCTCAAGAAAAACAGGTTCAGCAGCTAACTGCTGATTACAAAAAACAAAAACGAAAAAGGTTTCTTTTTTTGTGGCTTTTTCATACAATAAGGCCATAATATTAAATGTGTGTTATTGTAAGAAGAACATACATCGATCAGCCGCAACATTAAACCAGTAGGCAATAGTGAAAAACATTGATCACTCATTCCACTGCAAGCCTTGGGTCCTGGTATTCATGCGGTTGACACTACAATATGTACTGTGCCACCCACCTAAACATTGTTGTAGCCCAAGCACAACCCACTCGAGGCTACGATACTCTTCGATGGTAGTGGCCTCCCCAGCAGGTTAATGCACCCCGCCATATCGCAAAAACTTCCCAGGAATTGCTCGAGGAACCCCGAAAAAACAGAGCCAGCCTCCAAATTCTCAATCCGATTGAGCATCAGTCTGATGCTAACAAACGAGCCCGATCCACAAAGGCCTACCCCGAACCCGCAAAGCCCAAAGGATCCAATGCCGGGTGCCAGACACCACAGGACACGCCAAGGGGTCCCATGTCCATGCCCCGACAGGTCAGAGCTGTTGGGCGGCACAAAGGGAACCTACAGAATATTAGGCAGGTGTTTTTAATGTTGTGGCTGATTACTGTACAGCTTCAGCTCTCGAGGTACACTGACAGGAGGGCCAGCTTAAATTTTGGAAACAGATTTTAAATTAAATTTTTTTTTTTTTAAAGAAAAAAGAAAAACTGCAAAGCCAATTTGACAGACGGCCAGTCTCGACACACACCCATCCCCTGCTGTCCACACTGAAACTTTAATAGACCCGGCCTGTCAAGTCTGCCAAGAGATGCTGTCTGCATTTAAAAACACAGAATCTGACAAGAACACAGAGTGCAGACACCCGCATGCACTAAATAGACATATACATCATAATCTATTTGTAAATATTGTACTTTCAATATATTTATCTGGTTACTAGTTACTTTAAAAAGTAAGGTTTTATTGTTTTTTGTTTTTTAAAATCAAACAATTAACTGATTGAAAGACAAATGAGTAATTGACACTAGTCATTAGCTGGTAGGACTTCTACTCCTGTACTTCAGCAAAGAACCATTGATAATGCCCAACATTATCAATGGTCCTGTAGACATTCAGAGTAAACTGTGGTAGGTGAATGAAGGGATCAGACAGGTCCTCAAACCGGTTTTTAAATGTGTCTCATTTCTTACATTTTGGGAGAATTTTTTTTTTTTTTTTAAGCGGCAACTTTACCAAATTGGTGCAATCCATCAATAATTCTGGTAAAAGGAAGAGCAGAAAGGGTAACCAGCTGACTGGAGCCGCTTTGCAGACTCATGGATAAACATGTGATTATATTATGCAAGCGCTATTCATTTTGTAGAATTATTCTGAGCTTCATTTATATTTAGAAATGTGAGCACATCAGTGTTAGTATTACAAAGCTGGTTTGACAAAACAATGCATGTAATTAAGAAATGAGACCACAGCAACCCACCTCAGCGCGCTGTACCCCTGACAAACGCTGACGCAGCACAGCACTCGCTCCTGGTTAGCCTTGTTCTCCCCCAGGAACTTACAAACGATGTTTCCACCCAGACTGAAGCCCACAACAATGAGCTGGGTGTTAGGGTATGCCCGCTTAATGTAGCCAACCATGGATGCAAATTCCCATGTGCATCCTGTAAAATGAAACAGTATAGTGCTATAATCAAAACACAGAAACATACTTTATTCTACTCGGCACTTCTGGCTGAAGATTTCTTTAATTCAGGGTATCAGATTTGAGTGTCTAAGATCTTTTAAACAGCACAGGTCTCATCATGCCCATAAAAAAGCCTTACATTCTTCTTTTTCCATAATTTACCGTTTACCCTGAAATAATGCTGTACAAGCAGGGCAAAAAAAAAAAGAAAAAAAAAGGATAAGCTGTTGGTAAGTGCACACTTTCAGCAGAAATGCTTTAAACTAATACCTTCACTGTGCTCACCCCTTTTAATGGATTTTGGAGAGGATAGGTTAAGCCTAAACCACAACAGACAATTGGATGAGAGCAGCAGGCTGAGCCAAAAGCGATGACACAGCATTACTGACAGGACTGAATTCTTTTTATCATTGCAAATAATAGTTTTCATTCTTAGATAGACCTCTGATGAAAAACTGACTGGTGTTTAACAGGGGTTCGGTAATTATTAGGGGTTGGGGGATGAGTCATCACTAGATTAGCTCTGCATGATTCACAGTACAAAATCCTCTACTACGGCCTTTAGGCAGCCCATTTCATTTTTTCAAGCCCCTTTCCTCACTTTCTTCTCATTAGCTGCCCCTCACTGTCATCCACAAACAGATGCAGGCCTTATAAGCCTTGTCTGCTTACACCATATGTAATCAGTGCCAAACTGATACCACCTAAGCAGCATACAAGTAGAAAACTTTTGGTCCACAGACATAAATTGTATATAACATTTGAAACTGGACATTTACAATATAAACATCCAACAATGACAAAAATTATATGAAACACATTTTTTCAAAAGCCAAATAGGTACTATTTTGAGTTGGCTCACTGGTCTTACCATAAGTGAACATGCGTGGAGAGGTAAGCTCGATGTTGGGAAGAGCTCCGAGGTGATTCAGCACAGCACAACGATAACCATCCTTCTGTGCATAATCCACAAAGGTCCGGATGTAGTGCTTCTCACTATGGTTACCGATACCGGGGCATATCACCATGGTGATGTCATCTGGTTGAACAGGCAGATGGAGCAGGGCAATATTTGCAAGTGAGAAAAATGTAAGCAAAGATAAAAAAAAGGAGAGTGTTACTCTCCTAAACAGCAGATCATCATAACAAAAGGAGCAAGGCAAAGCCCGGCAGCCAATCCAAGATAAAGGATAAGGCTGTCAATTATAGCTTTTCCAAACACAGTGGAAATAGCAACACTACTTTTGTCGGGAGTAAAATGTCATGTGAGGCTCAAGCTTTCTGAGAGGACTAATAGATCCAAGTTAATTTGATTGGATAAGCTCAAGCCTTCAGAGAAACATATGCATCTTTTAAAGGGTCCCCCCACAACTGAATTACACACATCTTATGCGTGATTTAAAAGAACAATAATGCAGCAAAGTCTCTTTAGTAGCTGACTTGCAAGGCCTGGCACAAATAACCAAAGTTGGACATGACACCACTGACAACG